GTAGAACGTGGGGCCGTTAAAACCCAACGCCACCGTCGTGTTCAGTGACTACATTTTTGTTCCAACTTTGTTTTAGAACAGTAAACAGCAAAGAAAGAAAACGGCCAAAATGTCGACTTTCTTCTTTGCTGACATCATGGGAAACACCAGTTAGTTCGCAATCGATCAAGGGAAGGTTGAACTTGTTTCAAGGTCTTACGCAACTATCCTCACTAGTGTCCATGACTCCACGATGTTTACTTGATTAGCTGGGGCTGGGAACCATTAAATGGGCCACACCCAAATATCAAAAGGAAACACTGCCTTTTATCTATATCTATTTATCTTTTTTGTCTCAAGCTAGACTTCTTAATTCTCCTTACTGATTTCCATACATTTCCTCTTAATATGTTTTGAGAATTTGATGTTACATCAAGGCTATATTCCTTGTTGATCAGGTCTCTTTATTCTCATCAACTGTGTCGTTAATAGCGTATCTATATTGAAAAGAGAAACTAGACATTGATATAGTGTTGCAGGGGCGGATTTAGGGAGGGGGAAGCCAAACAAAAAAAGAGAAAAAAATGAAAAAAGGTTGTGAATATTATGGCAGAAAAAAAGGCAACCTCTCTTGACAGATACCTTCTACTTTGTGACCAGTTGCTGGTATTTCTAGTGAAACGGTTTTCAATTAAGTTCCAATTCTCAAATTGTAACATTTTGGTAACATGCCACATTGATTCTGCAACCCCAAGGTACCAGCCCACCCACCCTCTTGAAAAATCCAGGATCCGTCCCTGCAGTGTTGGGAACAAAAGGGCTACAAGTGGTACAGGTCGAAACGTGAACTTCAGACTTCTCTGCCGTCGTTGAATTATCGTTGCAATGACAATTTTCGTTTTCAATGATCACCATGTCAACTGGAGAGTTGCAACACCTTGAAACGAACACTGCAGTGGATATCTGTTAACTCTTTCCTCCTTGTTTTAACATGGCGAAGATTTTCGTGTTTCTGATAAGAGTCGCCGTCTCTACGATAAACCGCAAAACAAGAAATAGTTAATACTCAGCATAGTGCCTCTTTTCACGAAAACGGACCTTTTTAGCAGTGACTGCAAGATTTTTGTCTTCAGTAGGAAGCCGACACGCATTGAAATCATCAAAGAGAACCGAATCGTGAGAGGAGTGCACGCGCGGGAAGATGACCTTTCCCCTTGCGCGGAGTTTCCTTTCTCTGACCCTGCTACCTTTTTTACAGTCTCTCGTTAAATTACATAGAAAAACAAAACTGATTTTTCAAACAAGAACCAGGCATACATTGCTTACTTACCAGTCAGAAATGAAGTGACGAAAGAGTCCTTCTCAGACCTTTTGCTGTTAAAAATGACCACGACAGTCATTCGTGGATCCACGCGTGTTAAGAAATACGTGCTCTGAACACGCTGAGAAAATAATCACAGTCAAGTTAGAAACTATCGCAGGTGCTAGGTCATTTTTTGCTCAATTGTTTTGTGTGACCTACAGCTTTAGAAGCGAAATACCAGGTATTTGTATAGCGGTGTAATAGAGTGGTTTTCATTTTAGACTAACGTCGAAAAGTAATTGGTTTTGCATCAACTACGTTACACGATTGGCTTAAAAAACTCGCGCCACTTTTTCATCTAATCAGAATTAAGTAAAACCAGAATTGTAACTCTCTTGCACTCGTTTTCCCGCGCGTTGCGTCAGCTACATGTAATTACTTCGAGTTTTGATTGGTTCACTGTATTCTCTGGTCCTTTGTGATTGGCTAGAGTGATTACTTTGGTTTTAGTTTTACGACACTCACTTAAAAGAAACGCTCTATGCAAAGGAGGGATCCAAACTAGTTTTTGGCCTTTTCTCCATGAATCTCCTTAGGTTTAGCTTAGTGAAGAAGTGTAAGACTGATGTGGACGGTGACAGGCTTGACTCTTATTGGTAGAAATCGGAAATTTATACGAGTAGCTTGAGTTACGAACTGGTTAATATCGTTCTCAGATGTAACTACTGCACAGATGGAAACTTCTACTTGATCTCTGTCTAATTAACGTAGTCCTGTTCTGGCCCTCCATCTGTCACGCAATGCTACTCTCTCGGGAGAGTGAGTATCTTCGTGACAGAGGGCGAGAACCGCAAACTGTATTTCTATCTGGCGTGTCTTGCAATTTCTGTTTCAGTCATCTTAAGTTTCAACAGATGCAAGCTTCTCCGGCTTTCCAGCATATCGTTTGTATTTTCTTGTAAATTCATGATATTTAGCAGAGATTTCAAGCCACTATCACAATTTCAATTTCAAAACATTCACAATGGAGGGATACGCACGCACCAGCTTTTCAAAACATAGCAGGCAGAGAGAGCAGGAAATGAGCCAATGTTCACAACACACTTACAATGTCAAAGAAGTAGACGATTTTCTCCATGGAATTCAGCTCATTAACTCTATCGAGGAGAATGGACACAATGTTTGGCCAATGGTCAACTGGCTGGTCCTGTGAAGTGGAACAAACATGTTTGAGTCTGGACTCAACCTCGCTCTCAGGCTTCCTCATTCTTTCTGCATCCTGAGAGAGAGGGAGCCCGGGAACGAAGTTTATCTAAACACTTCCGATCGATATTAAAGCCATTTCTGAATTGTTTGTCAAACACAGTTTGCAAGAACTAAATTATAACAATTTCCAGTCCAAATAATTGAAGGCTAAGAAGTGTCTCAAGCTAAAATGCTCTTCACAGTCCAAATACTCAGTCATACACAAGACTAA